TGTGTTTCTTCCAAACAACTCAACTTTGGTTTTCTCTGTCCACAGAATATTTTGCCAGTACTGCTGTGGAACATCCAGGTGCTCTTGTGCAAACTGTAAACGTGCAGCAATTTTTTGTTTGGACAGCAGTGGCTTCCTCTGTGGTATCCTCCCATGAAATCCATTCTTGTTTAGTGTTTTACGTATTGTAGATTCGCTAACAGAGATGTTAGCATTTGCCAGTGACTTTTGTAAGTCTTTAGCTGACACTGTAGGATTCTTCTTCACCTCATTGAGCAGTCTGCGCTGTGCTCTTGCAGTCATCTTTACAGGACGGCCACTCCTAGGGAGAGTAGCAGCAGTGCTGAACTTTCTCCATTTATAGACAATTTGTCTTACCGTGGACTGATGAACAGCAAGGCTTTTGGAGATACTTTTATAACCCTTTCCAGCTTTATGCAAATCAACAATTCTTAATCGTAGGTCTTCTGAGAGCCCTTTTGTGCGAGGCATCATTCACATCAGGCAATGCTTCTTGTGAAAAGCAAACCCAGAACTGGTGTGTGTTTTTTATAGGGCAGGGCAGCTGTAACCAACACCTCCAATCTCATCTCTTTGATTGGACTCCAGTTGGCTGACATCTCACTCCAATTAGCTCTTGGAGATGTCATTAGTCTAGGGGTTCACATACTTTTTCCACCTGCACAGTGAATGTTTACATGGTGTGTTCAATAAAAACATGGCAACATTTCATTCTTTGTGTGTTATTAGTTTAAACAGACTGTGATTGTCTATTGTTGTGACTTAGATGATGATCAGATCACATTTTATGACCAATTTGTGCAGAAATCCATATCATTCCAAAGGGTTCACATACTTTTTATTGCAACTGTACATACAGATACAAATACTGACAGACATACAGATACACACACTGACACCTATACAGATACACAGATACAAACAGTGACACACATGGATATACAGACATACAGATACACACATGCATATAGACTGGCATGCATACAGATGCAGGCACATAGATACACACACTGACATATACAGATACACAGATACAGGCAATGGCACACACACTGATATACAGACATACAGATACACATATACCAACAATGACAGACACACAGAAACACAGATATACAGATACACACACTGACACACACACACACACATATATACAAACAAGAAACACACTTGGACACACAGACATACAGATACACACAATACTAACAATGACACACAAAGACATACAGATACACACACATACACTGACACACATACCGATACAGACCCACAGATACACACACTGACACTCATTCAGATACAAACAATAAAGCACATATAGATGCACACACTGACAGACATACACATACACACACTGACACACATACAGATACAAACAATAACAAACACACAGATGCACATGTAGATACACAGACATGCATATACACACAGATGCACGCACTGGCATGCATACAGATACACAGATACAGTCAAACAACACAGACATGCAGATACACACACTGACACACATACAGATACAGAAACACAGATACACACATGGAGACACATTCAGATACACACACTGACACACAGACATATACACGTATAAAAACAATGACACATACGGATACACACACTGACACACATACAAATACACAGACATACAAATACACATACTGACACACATATAGGTACATAGAAATGCACACACATATACAAACAATAACAAACACACAGATAAACACTACATACATACTGATACAGGCACCCACAACACATACAAATCAACATTTTAGCCACGCTCCATTTTTCTACCTTTTGGGTGCAGGAGGGTTGCTTCTGCTGGCTGGGACTCTTGGGAGTTAGGGTTTTTCTTCTCTCCCTGTCCGGATTGTACCCCAGGGATACCCATACCACAGGTACATAAATGAGAAAAGTAAAACAAGGATTAGTTAGATTAAAAACAAAAGAAGGAAGGTATGTAGAAGAGGATAAAGGTCTAGCTGACTGCCTCAATGAATATTTTTGTTCTGTATTTACAGATGAAAATGAAGGAAAGGGACCTCAGTTAAGAAAAAGGATAAATGAGTCATTTATAACACGTGAGTTTACAGAGGAAGAGGTTCTATTTCAACTGTCAAAAGTAAAGACAAATAAGTCAATGGGACCTGATGGAATACACCCAAAGCTATAAAAAGAGCTTAGTGGCGTACTAGCAAAACCATTAACAGATTTATTTAACCAATCATTGTTAACAGGAGTAGTCCCAGAAGATTGGAAGTTAGCGAATGTTGTGCCCATTCACAAGAAAGGTAATAGGGAGGAGTCGGCAACTATAGGCCAGTAAGCCTTACTTCAGTAGTGGGGAAAGTGATGGAAACCATGTTAAAGGATAGAATTGTTGAGCATCTAAAAACACATGGATTTCAAGATCAGAGACAACATGGGTTTACTTCAGGGAGATCATGCCAAACTAATCTTATTCATTTTTTTGATTGGGTAACTAAAATTATAGATCAGGGTGGTGCAGTAGACATTGCTTACCTAGATTTCAGTAAGGCTTTTGACACTGTTGCACATAGAAGGCTTATCAATAAACTGCAATCTTTAAGTTTGGATTGCAATATTGTTGAATGGGTAAGGCAGTGGCTGAGTGACAGGCAACAGAGGGTTGTAGTCAATGGAATATATTCGAAGCTTGGACTTGTCACCAGTGGGGTACCTCAGGGATCTGTACTTGGACCCATTCTCTTTAATATTTTTATTAGTGATATTGCAGAAGGTCTTGATGGTAAGGTATGTCTTTTTGCTGATGATACTAAGATATGTAACAGGGTTGATGTTCCAGGAGGGATAAGCCAAATGACAAATGATTTAGGTAAACTAGAAAAATGGTCAGAATTGTGGCAACTGACATTTAATGTGGATAAGTGCAAGATAATGCATCTTGGACGTAAAAACCCAAGGGCAGAGTACAGAATATTTGATAGAGTCCTAACCTCAACATCTGAGGAAAGGGATTTAGGGGTGATTATTTCTGATGACTTAAAGGTAGGCAGACAATGTAATAGAGCAGCAGGAAATGCTAGCAGAATGCTTTGTTGTATAGGGAGAGGTATTAGCAGTAGAAAGAGGGAAGTGCTCATGCCATTGTACAGAACACTGGTGAGACCTCACTTGGAGTATTGTACACAGTACTGGAGACCGTATCTTCAGAAGGATATTGATACCTTAGAGAGGGTTCAGAGAAGGGCTACTAAACTGGTTCATGGATTGCGGGATAAAACTTACCAGGAAAGGTTAAAGGACCTTAACATGTATAGCTTGGAGGAAAGACGAGACATGGGGGATATGATGGAAACATTTAAATACATAAAGGGAATCAACACAGTAAAGGAGGAGACTATATTTAAAAGAAGAAAAACTACCACAACAAGAGGACATAGTCTTAAATTAGAGGGACAAAGGTTTAAAAATAATATCAGGAAGTATTACTTTACTGAGAGGGTAGTGGATACATGGAATAGCCTTCCAGCTGAAGTGGTAGAGGTTAACACAGTAAAGGAGTTTAAGCATGCGTGGGATAGGCATAAGGCTATCCTAACTATAAGATAAGGCCAGGGACTAATGAAAGTATTTAGAAAATTGGGCAGACTAGATGGGCCGAATGGTTCTTATCTGCCGTCACATTCTATGTTTCTATGGGAACCCCTGATTTAAAGTAAGTGGTCGGGGTGCTTATATTACCCCTTTAAATACCATGGGAAATGATAGTTCCCCTTTATAAAAGCCAGTTTTACAATGATTAAACGGGCAAGTTTAAATTGGATTACTGGGAACATAATGTTGCTTAGAGCATCCTAAGGCCCCTGTATTTGCAATATTTTAATGCATTATCTCTGTGATGCTTTAGAAAACATTGTCTATTCTTCTAGAGAAACATGGGTAAATGGACAAATTATAAAGTATCTAGTGCCAATGCCTCCTGCACCTTCCTTATAAAACATGCTCAGGATACCTTACCTATTTGTTTACCTGTGCCGTTTAGATTCTATTATTGGTTAGTACAAATGTTAAATATATCCAGTTATTTCCTAACACAGTGGTCCAGTGGCTGGTTTGGTCTATTTGGAAGACTCTCTCCTTGTATCTGAATGTGTGTCAGTTTGTCAGTGTGTGTAGCTGTATGTGTCAGTGTGTGTACCTGTGTTTCTGTATCTGTATGTTTGTTAATGTGTATATCTGCATGTCTGTGTTGTTTGTTTATATTGTTTGTATCTGTATGAGTGTCAGTGTGTGTACCTGTGAGTCTGTATCTGTATGTGTCATTGTGTGTATCTGAATGTCTGTCTATCTGCATGTGTGTCATTCTGAGTATCTGAATGTTTTTATTGTTTGTATATGTGTATTTGAATGTGTGCCAGTGTGTGCATCTGTATGTGTCAATGTATGTATCTGTGGGTCTGTCCATGTGTGTATATGTATGTTTGTGTATTTGCGTGTGTGTGTTTGTGTCATTTTTTATATCTTTGTGTATCTGTATGTGTGTCAGTATATCTGTATATCTCTGTGTGTATATATATATATATATATATATATATATGTGTCAGTGTGTGTATCTGTGCATGTGTATCTCTGTGTTTGTATTTGTATGTTTGTCAGTGTATATGTGTGTGTATGTCTGTGTATCAGTATGTGTGTTGGTATGTGTATCTGTATGTCTGTATATCCGTGTGTGTAGCTGTTTGTATCTGTGTATCTGTATGGGTGTCAGTGTGTGTATCTATGTGTCTGTCTAACAGTATTTGAATCTGTATGTATGTTGATATGTGTATCTGTATGTCTGTGTATCTCTATTATGTCATTGTATATATCTATATGTGTGGCATTGTTTGTATCTGTATAGATTTCAGTGTGTGTATCTGTATGGGTGTCAGTATGTGTATCTGTATGTCTGTGTATCAGTGTGTGTAACTATATGCGTGTCATTGTTTGCACCTGTGTATCTGTGTGTGTCATTGTTTGTATCTGTGTGTTTATCTGTATGGCTGTGTATATGTGTATGTATTTGTGTCTGTTTATCTGTGTTAGTATGTATCTGTAGGTCTGTGTATCCATGTTTCATTGTTTGTATCTCTATATCTGTATGTGTATGTATCTGAATGTGTCAGTATGTGTCTGTATGTGTCAGTATTTGTATCTCCGTGTATGTGTGTGTGTATATCTATATGTGTCAGTGTATGTATCTGTATACCTGTGCATATGTGTATCGGCCAGCAGTTACTCTCTATGGTCTTCCCTGCTTCTGTGCAGGGAGTGTAACAGAGAAGACCATAGAGACTAAATGTTGGTTTTCAAACAATGTCTGACCCAAGTTTCGTGTATATGGCTGACGGACAATGTAATATAGTGTAGGGAAGATTTTTTAATATGTTTTACATATACTTCATTTTAAAAAATGTATTTCCTATCAAAAAGCAATGAAAGGATTAATATGTTAAAATTGTGTTTAGGTGACCGTTGTCTTTTAAGCGTGCTGCCTTACCCAGCGGTTTGGTGTAAAGGGCAAGGTAGTTCTTTTAACAGATAAAGGTAACCTCCCGAGACGCTTGGGATCTTTGCCACTGCACTATCTATAATTCTCACATTTACTGTGGATCTAAATAATCTCTGTCTCTCATTGGTAACTTGATTTGTATATTGCTAGCAATTTAACTATAGTCTATTTAATGAAAATGTTCTCCATCAAAAACCCTAATGGTAAAAATGTACTCCCCCCTCACCCCCCCCTCTTTCTAATGTTGTGACTCTCCATTTTTGAGTTAAGATGTCCCTTGGATGCAAAACCTAAGCCCTTGTAAGTGCTTTTTAAAAGGCTGCTAAAACATTCACTCCCCTTTGACTTGCAAAACAACATTGCGTCCTTTTTCCAATACTTAGTGTTTCGTGGATATTTTTTTTTCTATTTAAGTGGATTATATAAACCTGATCATTTCTTTCATTTGGAAATTTCTGCTCAGACCTTTTCAAATTGGAGAAGAAAGCTTTATAACAGGCGCATTGAAATGACCTGATGACTGACACTTATAACATTCTCAGAGAGCTGCACAATATACAACACAGAGATGAAAAAAAAAAAAAAGAAATACTCCGCTTGTACTACCTAATGGCTCTGTTCAGAGGAGCGCAAATAAATCAGGGTGTCAGGATTGCAAACGATCTTTAAAATGATTACCATGTGTGACAGAGCTATTCCAAAAACATTAAGAGACGTGAGAATACTGTGATTTAAACGGGAAGCAAGCCTATTTGTAATGTGTTATAATACCGGTTACCATTGAAAGGTTTAAGATAATTTTGAGTTGTGGTTGAATGTTCATTAACCCTTTAACCTAGTAACCTCACTCTCTTATACAATCATTAGTTTATAATACAAAAAAAAAAAAAATCTCTTTAGTTCTCCTTTATTTTGTGTTATCCACCTCTCGGCCTGTGAATGAAGTTTATTTTTACATAGCTGTAGAAACCCTTTGATGTTGTTATGAAACAAGCATTTATTAAACATTTAATGGAATATCAGGTACTCAAACTGATTTTGATGTAAAATAAAGTTTTGGATTAAGTTATATACAGTCCGATACCGGGACACCATCCAAAAAAAAGAAAGAAAAAAAATTAAATGTGTGTGGCGTGTGTGGATATATGTAAAAATAAAACACCTTTAAACAGTGCATGTGACCCAGCTTACAATATCTTTATTTATTTTTTAATAATAATATATTTATTAACCCCTTATGGACCAAACTTCTGGAATGAAAGGGAATCATGACATGTCAGACATGTCCTTAAGGGGTTAAAGGGACACTATAGTCAACAAAACAACTTTAGCTTAATGAAGTAGCTTTGGTGTATAGATCGCGCCTCTGCAGTTTAACTGCTCAATTTTCTTCCATTTAGGAGTGAAATTACTTTGTTCATGCAGCCCTAGTCACACCTTCTGTTTAATTTAGAATTTCTTAACTCCTGCACTGGCGATAGCTTGCTAGACCTTGCAGGAGCCCCCTGTGTGTGATTAAAGGTCGATTTACAGGGCAGGAGATAAAAGTTAACATCTAAATGCCATTTAACCCCTTAAGGACCAAACTTCTGGAATAAAAGGGAATCATGACATGTCAGACATGTCATGTGTCCTTAAGGGGTTAAAAACATTTTTTTCCCATGCAGGCTGTGTCATTCACAGCCACCAGGGAAAGTGTGGCAAGAACTGCATGGACAGAAACAAAAGTGATTTACCGCCTAGATAGCAGAGAATAACCAGTGACTTTAAAAATTAAAAAGGATAATGAGAAGATGAATAAATACCAAGAACTAAAAGAGGAACTAGAAAGTGACGTCCAAGTTGTGATAGGAGCACTTATGGCTGTAAACCCCAAATTGGGGGGAGTGGAGATTAGCAGATTCCAAGTAGAGATCTGTGTCCAGAAGAGTATAGTTCTTGGAACAGCTAATAAACTACACAGAGCCCTTAGATCCCAGGACTTTGGTAAAGACTCTAAGACAAGCATGTCCCTGGGGCCGCTTTATGCTGTGGTTACACCAACCGCAAGACAGGAAAGATCTTAACTTTCTGAGCCTTGTCTTCCCTC